GGGACTCATTACCTTATTATCCAAATCAAGCGCTTTGGAAGCTAATCCTTCAAGCCATTGAACAATCCTCAGACATAATTGTGCATTATGATCTTTTGTAACAAATTGGCAGGCCTCCAAATGAGAAGTCGTCGGGAACTGAATTAAAGCATGTTATTCAACATTTTAAAATTCAATTGTCCAATCAAATTATGAACACAAATGATGTTGATATATATATATATATATATATATATATATATATATAAAATAAGTTCATTGTGAATGACAATCACCATGACTAAATCTTCAGGGACTTCTTCATTTCCTGCAAGGAAATAATGAAGGATATTAACCTCAAAACATTGTATTTTCAGCAAGATCCAAGTAATAATCATTACACAGAAAAAAATAAAAAAAAAAAGAAAAAAAAGAACGAAAAGTTTATGCTAGGTGATAGACAAGATCTTTTTATAGGCCTTACAAAATGAAAATGTTTTTCCACCATCACTTAGAATCCCCCCACCCCTATCAACTCTATTAATATCTGAAAACAACAGTATCCAATTCCCGATAGCACAATAACTTAATTATTCAAATAGAAACTGGCGAGGTATGCTTCAAAGACTGGAATGAGCACCTGCGATGCAATTTCTTCATCAGTGTTATTTATATATTTTGCATGGTAGACATGATATAAATAAGCTTCGTTCATGCAGTGAAACATTCATTATGACATGGTAAGCAGATTGATTTCAAGGAATTACTCAAGAATAATGCACGAATAAAGGTAAATGATTTATCTGACATGCAAATCACCTTTCCCGTACAGATACCACAGAAGAGACCACGAAGCAGCTTCATCAAGCAAGAACCGAGCTCTCTGCCTCATCAATTTATCTTCAACAATTCTGTACCTCTCGTTGGCACCAAATCTGCACCATAAATGACAACAATGTAGCCAAAACCACTAAAAACAGTAACTGGGTCCTGACAAACCGATGGCAACAAATAGTTGAAAATGCATAATTAAATATAAAATGTATGAGCAGGTCAGTTTTAGGAACTTATGAAAAAATTGTACAATTTAAGTACAACTCTGAATTGAAGGTTACAGATGAAGTAGGAGTTAATTTTAGATGGATATAAGTAAGTAGTCATACAGAGTTTATAAACATCCTAGAACATTGAAATTTTGTATAGTGCTATATATTTCATGTTCACGTAAAGAAGGCACAGGAAACCTTCCCCCACATCTGCCACAGTTGTCAGCTCAGACAGAGAAAATTAAGACAGCGCATAAACCCATTGTCACAATGTATACAAACAAGTCTCGGTCTACTATATAGGCCAACATGTAATGCAAGTGATAAAAGGCACAATAAAGGGAAAAGAGTTTAAAGTTTCTGCTTCATTGCTCATCTTAATGGTCCAAACATAATCAACTTGAAACCAAACTCTCAACCTGCTAGCATGCATTCGAGTGGTTTCTTTATAGGAACAAAACATCAACAATCTAACCACAGAAAGCTACTGCATATCACACAGCTTCTGGCAAGATCACTAATCATCATGTGAATACACCCTAAGGGGCACCAACCATTTGTTTTTCGCAGCTGGTTCTCCCAGGTAACTGGAGAAGATAACTGGATGGCATGATAGTAAAGCAATCAACAAAGTACCTAATTGACTCTGAAACATTACGACATGAATTCTCAAAGTGGAGTATCAGATCAGGGATGGGCATCAATCCTGCAGCCAAAAATCAACATAAAATTACGCATTAAGATCTCAAGATAACACTGCTCGTCGATGGAAATTGGAAAGCGCATAGCACAACTGAATTTTAGTCTTGATAATAAACCTTCAGGTTCTCATAGAATATCTATGTCTATTTATATAATAGAGGCTATTCGTTTAATGCAGTTTTTCCGCCCATTTCTTTCGTTTAATTGTGAAACTAACCGTTATATTTTATATTAATTAAAAATGATAATAGTTTTTGTAATTATTCTATCAATAATAATTACTACTAATATTAACTAATTATAATTTGCATTAAATGGTACATGAAGGTTATTTAATTTCAAATAAATATTATCCGTTTATTTTTATCTCATTAAACGATTTTTGGTAACTAATAGGTTATAATGTCATAGCAAACCGTTAAAAATTGCGCGAACAATTGCTACAATAATAAATCAATATTTCATCAACTAATTAATTGGTCAAAACCCTTTAATTTGTAAAAGTTACATTTTTCATTATATTTTATGCAATTTATGTAGCTATTCATTTATAAGTAAAATAATTTATAATTATATTGTCCATTTTTACTAATATTAAATTTACCTAATGTGATATTTCAGTTATATAACTTATTATTTTAGATATAATATACATATGTATGACTAATAATATTTTATTTAGAAGGATTGATTACTAGTAAAGATAATAACACCAAATTGAAGCTTTCTCAATTTCGTTTTAGAATAAAATTAGTTTTAAATATAAGGAAGATAAAAATAAGTCAATTGAAGAAGAAGAAGAAGAACAAAAAATCGATATCCCCCAACAAACAATGTGAAAATGTGTAAATGATCGTCTAGTGACAGCATTTGCATATTCATTATGACTGAAATCATAAAGTGACAGAGCTTATATGTTTCAACTCAATTACAGAAATAGTTAAACAATCAATCGTTGCCTGTCGGACATATTTCAACCCCAACAATGCCTAGAAAATAGCATAATATATGAATTAACAGCAGCATTCTACAATCATCTCCAACATGTCATGAGAAGATGCAACTGATAGTTGTGAATGGTTACACACATGCGTGTCTAGTCTTATTTGAGGATTATAATTTAGAGCTCAATGGATGACTCAGTCATCCTTCCATACTTCCCTTCTTAAAGACAAGCATGACACACCCATATGTTGGTGCCTTCCTCAGCAGGTTATCCAGCTTCATAGTTTCAAAAATGGGGGGCACAACACATATTTGCAGAATTCGTTTTGACATCTATAACCCACAGCTAAATCCTATTATGTGTTTGTCTCTAATCTAGCCAAAAGCTTATCAGAGACATCAAATGATTAAATCCAAAGAATCTCCCAATAAATTAACAATGACTTTAATTCTTCCAATGTTAAATAAACAGCCTTTTTAAAGTTGTCTGTATATGCAGTTACGTCCAAAAACAAAACCAGGTAGAATTAAGTATTAGCAAAGCATTTTCGTTCAAGTACCTTGAAGACATGAATCCAGGAGAGAAGCAAATAAGGAGAAAGTAGTATCAACACTTTCACTTTGCTCATGCTCTTCCTGCTTACAGACCTTTAAGGATTCACTTCCCCGCCTGCGTATTGTCTCGGCATCGCTATAAATGGATGCTCGCCTCTTGGATCCAGATTCATAAGATGTTCCCCCAATATCTGCATCAAAGTTCTCAACCTCATGTTTGATATTTTCAAGAAAAAGTGCAGCATTACTGAATCTTGATGCCGAGTTATCATAATGTGGAGATAGGCTTGAGCTGGGATGCCTTTTCCTGCAAATGTTAACTTCGATTTACCGACAGCACCTCGACATTTAAGAAATATAAACTATAAAGTGAAGCAATATACTATGACCTTTAAAACGAGACCTCAATAGCATAGATTCTGTACAATATAAAAAAGTACATTATCCAAACCCATGATAAAAGACCAGTAAGATAGCTAATGGCACAAAAACAGAACAAATAAACTAACCCCTCTGCAATTTTGCATCATTCATGTCCAATAACCCAGAAATTAAAAAAGAAGCAGCATTCTCACATAGAAACACCAAAAAGAAAAGAAAAAAAAAAAAAAAAAAAA